CAAGGAGCCGTCCCCGGGGAGCGGGGCGGCGTGCCGGGCAGCCTGGGAGATGTAGTTTCGGTGGGAAGCGTGGCCCCGCGAACGAGAGGCACTGTGGGGCCCGGGGAGGAGGGTCCGGGAGCTAGGGCTTTTCAAAAGAAACGCACACGTGGCAAAACACGTGTTTCACCGTAAAGTCTGGGACGTAACGATCCTAGTTGAAACGTATTTATAAAATGGGCACACTTACTTCTTGGGAGAGAAGCTTAGATAATCTCCAGCGCTCAAAACCTGTGAGACTAGCCAAAAAAACCCGGCCGGATCGCAGCCAGCGCATACCCCGGCGGCACGATGACAGCCCGCAATCATTTTTGTCTCGCTGGCAAATTATGACAAGCAGGCACAATGTTCAGCCTCCTCCTGGTGCAGTTTTAGCGGTCCCATTTCCTAAAGTACAGGGGGGAAGAGCATAAAAAACTCCCTGAACTAGGGAAAAGTGTGCTTTGGGAGGGGCTTGCGGAGGGCATCTGGCCCAAGCCCTGTGCGGAGGAGGGCTGCAAAGTCAGAGCAGGCAGCTGAGGGCCTGCCGAGGACAGGGATCGCACAGCCCCGCTGGGCCAGGGCTTGACCACCCTCAGGGTGACTCTTTTTTTCTCTCCCCCACCCCGTAACTAACTGGATTTCCCTTGTAATTTGGGTCTGTTGCCTCCCATGCCATCTCTGCGCGTTTCTGAGCGCGCGTCCTGCTTCCCAGCATTTCCCCGGGCTGATTTCCGAGGCCGCGGCCGCGCAGAGGGGACTGCCCTGCCACGGGGCTGCAGGCTCCAGGTTACTGTCCCGAGATAAATGGGACCTGGGACAAAAATAACCCAGAGTCAGAGCTTGCCCCTTGCAGGCATGCGGGTTTCCCAGGGCGTCCCAGGCACTCCTGCCCTCCGGCTACCCCCGGAGGCTTTGCCATGCTGCCCCTTTCTCCATGAGTTCATCCTTAAGCTGTCCCGGTAGACAGGGGAGATTGACACCAGGGTTTCTCTCTGAGGAATATTCCCACTTGGAGCTGGATATAAATAATTCAGCTCAGGCTATAAATCATTCAGCAACTTCTTGTCTCCTTTTGTGGACCCTTGCCTGGCTCCCCCACCCAAGGGGGAACCCCTATCCTGTGCCTCTTCACTGGCCCTGAAGACGAGCACCGACCTGGGACTTGGGGCTTTGCAGCTAGAAATGCCCATGGCTTGTTGCTTCTCACTGCTGTCAGGACGTAAAGGACTCCTGTCGCTGCAAACCCATCTGTGAAACTTGGGATGGTTTCTAGCAAACAAGGGCAGGGAGGCACCAGAGTTTTACGTAGGCTTCGTTTAACCCGCAGGATCTAGGTCCACTTGCTGCATCCTGTGGCTAAGCATGCTCTTCCGTGCCAGGATGAGACCCAGGCTAACAAGCCTGCTTACAAGCTGCAGATAAACTGGTTTCCCGCTCATTTAATGAACAGAGGTTTGGTTTTTATTACATCTCCTGTGGGGGAATCTGCCTGCTTTGGAAATGCAGTTGCATGCTCAGCTCTCCAAGTACAAGTACATTGTCCCAGCTGGAGACGTGTTGGGGAGACAGCTGACCTTGCCAAGGCCACCAGCAGGCGCTGATGGGGACACAAGAGAAGAGCCCAGTCCTTCCGCCCACGGGGCTCGTGCATGAGACAGGGCCGTCTTCCTTCCCGCAAAAAGTAACCTGGGCACTGCGAAGTCACGGCAGGGAAAAAAAGCCATGAAACGCAGCCAAATTCCACCAACCCTGCTTCAAGCAGCCGCCAGCAGATACTGAAAGGATGCCTTCAGAGGAGGAGAGCTCAGAAGGGTGCCAAAAGCCTCGCTGCAAAAGCGTGAAACGCAGCCAGGGAGGGAAAAAGCAACCACAGACAAGGGAAGCCCATCTCCCCTCTCGGGCAAATTAATTGGTTTGTTGAGTTTTAGCACACAGAGGCTCGCCCCACTAGTGCTGAGCTGCCCCTGCTTGCCCCAGAAGCATATCCAAAACCAGCCTGGAGATGTATTCTGGACCCCAAACCCCATTCAGAGATGTTCCCTTCTGAATGGCCCATCCTGTCTCGGTTTAAGGTCGAGGCTTTAATTTACTCAGTACCCTTTAACAAGTATTTCTCAGGTGACTGATTTTCTCCTCCAGTTCATTAACTGGAGCCATCACACGCTGTTTTCCCAACAGAAGCCACACTCCACTTAGTACAGCAATTTCAAAACAACCCTGTCATTTCTTCCTTCATCACAGCCACTATTAAGCCAAGGGAACATTTATTAAGAAGCAGACGTACCAGCTCTTTGTTTTTAGTTAAGCTCAGGTTATTAATCTCTATTGAGAGTTTTCACCACCTTCCTCAGCTTCACAGTATTTGACTAACTCTCCAATAGGCATTCAGAGCAACTCCAGGTGATTGAAGATTAACTGCTTTCCAATATTAGTGGCTCTACACTAACATGTCCAGCTCTCCCCAGCTCTGGAGGCCAGACGATAGCTATTAGTGTTGCTTCTGCAGCTCCCTGCAGGATGCCTGCAGGATGCTATCCCACCCGATAGCACTGGTGCGAATTACATTCCTTTTGGCTTTGGGTCCCAAACACAGAACGAGGCCAAATCTTCCCTATGCTATGGCTGCTTTGTAGCACGAGACCAGGAGACTGGAGTTGTTTCCTGGAGTATTTTAGAGAAAGGGCAATTCCCTCCCTTCCCTTTCCCATGGCACTCCTTCAGTGGGAGCGGGGACACAAAGGCAGGCATAGGTGTCAAGGCACATCGGAGCAAATCTGGCTTAAGTCTCCTCAGTTAAAGCAAAAAACTCGCTCGAGAGCGATTCCCTCCCTAAACGTCTCCTCGAAATATATGTTTGGGGAGCTGCTGGGGCACATCCTTTGCACCAGCCCTGTTGAGCCCTGAAGGATGCTGTGCTGGAGTCAGCCCAGGCAGCCAGGTTTCCTCCTGCAGAAGGTCAGAGGAACTGTCCCCGAGCCACCCAAACCATAGCATTGCAGGGACAGGCAGGAGATCGGCCTCTCTTCAGCATACCTGGCCGACCATGAGGGACATTTACTTACGCACCTCCACCCCAAGGCACTGCGAGGCAGAGCAGAGGGGCCAAGGGAACAAGGAGCCTCCGGAGGACACGCAGCCTGCCCAGAAGAAATGCAAGAAGGCAGCCCTGAGCAGCCACCCACAGCGGGAAAGTGAGAGGATGAGGGATGTGCCCTAGTCCCCCTCCACGACAGCACCTCCAGCTGCCAGTGTCAGAAGATTGTGCAGGGCAGATAGGGATGCAAATGGTGCAGCCCCATCCGTAGGGATGAAAGCCGGAGAGTCCCATCCCAAGCCACTTCTCAGGGCATGCAAGGCAGCACGGGCCAAAATTGGGCCAGGAACAGGCTAACAGTGAAACAGCAGGACCAAGCAAGAATCCAGAGGTTGGGTTTGCTCCCTGGCTTCATTTCATTTAGCATTTTGCCAGGGCACAGAGTATGCTTATCACAGAGCAAAGAGCTGGTCCTGCTGGTCCATCTCTGATACCTTCCTCATCAGCCCATTCTCTCTCTCAACGTTTCTCAGGATCTTTGCCTTGTTCAAAAGTCTTCCCTCCTTCCACCTCTCCAGGACACGGTTAAGAAGTAGCCAAGAGCTCACCCCTTGCCTGGTTATTCGCAGCTGAAATAAATACCCACGCCGGGGTGCTAGCACATCAGTCCTCTACTTCAAAAACATTGACAGACTCACTGCTACCGCATGAGCTCGAAGCTCTGGGCATATCTCCCCTCCACCCACCAGCAGATGCGACGAGCTGGTTCCCATGCCCATGCCGTCCCCTCTAGCGTCCCCTGCTCACTGCCACCCTGCTCCACAGGGCTGTGCTGTGCTGTGCTGGTTCTCGGTGCTATACTGGGCACTAGCAACCAGCTCGCCTCTCGGCCTCGGCTAGAAAGAGACGTAGGTCTGCCCAGCCTGGCCTGTGGTTGGTCCCATATCCTGTGAGGGCGAGCCGAGGGAGGCACAGGAGCCCCCCTATCTGATGGGCAGGGGCAGCTTGAGGTGAGTTTTCAGCCCCAGGGCCTTGTCGACCACGTCCACTGCTTGCAGGCTGTGCCACTGGGCGATGGGCCGCCGGGGGTTGGACAGCATGTCAGACCAGTGCCGGAGCTGATTGCCTGTGGCCCGGCAGCCCAGGAGGAGTTTGCCGATCTGCTCGTTCTTGGTCACCTTGTCGTGATCCCAAACAGAGATGACCAAGTCCACGTTCTAAGGGGAAATGGGGAAGATGGTGAGCGGGAGGCCGCTTTGCCCACCGGACACGTCTCAGCAACCACTGGCCAAGGGTGCCCAGGGAGAGGGAGCATGCAACAGTGACCACAGAAGGTCAGGCACTCGCAGGCGCAACTGTGCCTTCGGTCACACGTGTGTTATCAGCAAGCTTTATGGGGCAGAGGGAGGAGCACTGATTTGAGATGTCCTCCAGGCAGGGGAAACCCACCTGAATCTGATTGAAAG